GGGCGCGGGGGCGAGCGGCCTCGCTGGGCCGGCGGCGCGGCCTCCCCGGGCGGTGTTTGCCGGGCGAGCCCCGGACGGTTCCAGGCTTTGACGTGTGTCACCGGCGAGGCCCGACCCGGCCTCCCCGGGGCGGAGGGCCGCCGGGAGGGCGACTTCAACCGCGGGGAGGGCGGCTGCAGCCCGCCGGTGTTTACCGGCCGAGCGGCCTTCGCCTCCTCCCGCCGCCGCTGTGGAGTTTTCTGGCAAGGCCGGTAGCAAATGTTTGGGGAAAGGAAACTCGGATCCCCCTCCCCGCCTTGGAAAGGAGCAGCCGGCTGGGCTCCGGCACCCACCCCCGCTGCCACAGCCCCCTCTGTGCACCCCCCCGCCATTCCCGGTGTCTTTGCGGGAGCCTGGCCCCTTGCAGCCGCCGTCCTTCTTCCCGGCTTTGGGATTCGCATCCTTGCTTTTCCCAGCCGCGTTTGTTTTATTTTCCAGCTGCGAGGGAGTCTTGGCGTTTAGGTAAACTGTTTTGATTGGCGTTAAAAACAAAAGCCTGCGTGGATAAGCGCGTGGTTGTCGTGGACGGGAGCCAGGAGGCAAATCAAAGGTGACAGTGGCTTTAACCGAGTCAGGCTTGCGTGGTGGGATGGAAAAGCCTCTGAAGAGTCAGTCCTGCCACTGACAGAAAAAGTAAAAATAGATGCAGCTGGGGGAAATGGTGAGGGTTTGGTTGGGTTTTTTTTGCATAATATTTTAGTTGAACTTGCGCAGGATTTGCATGGTGTCCAAAAGACTGGCTAAACTGTAATGACACTGGTAGTTACATATTATCTATGCAACTTTTAAATAAATATATTCTTCACATGATACCCTTGTGAACCACAAGGGTGAGCAGTTTATTAACTCAGAATAGAGCCGTGCAGCTCTCAGGTTGTCTGGCAAGGTTGCTGGCAAATGTCTCTTGGGTAATCTCAGGGGAGGAGAGGAATTACTGCATTATTAAACAATTCTCAGGCTCTAAATTTACTGAAGAAACTCTGAATTTGTTTGCCATGAGTCGAGCCCTACCTTTAAAACTTAGCGGGCGAGCCTGCCGTTTGACACTGATGGCAGGTGAAACAGCTGCTCTTGTTGCTTTAAAATTGTGCTTCGTACCCTGCTTTTCTTTGTTAAATATTGAATTGAGCAAATGGAAGTTTGAGCCATAAGAAGAGGGTTGCAATTGCTGTGTTCAACTTGGTTAGTTAAAGTTTAACGTCAGAGGCTTGGAAGATGTTCCACTTGGAGGAAAACTGATTTGCAAATACGGTTAAGGCACCTGCAGCTTGGTGCAGTTCCTGTACAGGACAAATATAGATAACAAAATTGTTATGTGCTGCAACTGGATGGGGTTTGCTTGCTTTTTATTGTCTCTCTTTTCTCTCTGCTCCAGGTAAAGGCATTAAGCAGGAGCTCTGAGGAGCTTTCCCTCAGAAAGGAGAGCGAGAGGTTCCCTTCAAGACTGATTGCGGATTTTTGTGGCTGGAGGAAGTAGTGGTTTTTATTAATAGATTAAATTTTTGGTGAGAGGTCTTGCCATAGCCCAAAATGTCAGTCTTTTGGACATAAGATTCGAGCTAAGTTGCGGAGGCTCCCCTATCAGACGTCATGTTCCTTTAACAGAAAGGTTATTGAGTTATCCAGCATTGCCAGGAGATGTTGACTATCAGTGTGAATAATTGAGAGAGTTGTTTTTATGGCATATGCTGTGGGAGTTGGTCCTGTTTTAATGGGAACAGGGATTTGCAAATAAATACTGGCTGTCAAAAGCTATGCAGAGTTTAGCAGGTAGTGAGGTCTTCCTGCTGCTTCATGAGAGCTTTGGGTTGGGTGTTACCTGTTCACAGTGGAACTTCCTGGAGTTGTACCTGGTGTGCTAATATGTGATTATTTATAGACTGCCTCTGCGCTGAAGTTACTTACTTTACAATATGGAGCAGCAGTAAGGATAAAGACAAACTTTTAAAGCCGTAATGAAACAGAATCTCGTGTTCTCATCTTTAAAAAACAAACATGCAAATGATGAACGAGCCCACCAGTTTTGTT